GAGTATTCTCCCCCTGTAATTACAATTTTCCCAAAAATGTTTATTGCATTTCAAGATTTTTTTTTTTTTGAGAGAGAGAAAGCTGGATAAGCATCCTTTTTTTTCTTCATATGTCTATTCACTAATCAGATCCTTCCCCCCTCACCCCCGAATACAAGTCTGACTTCAACAGGAGATGTTGGTTTCTCAGTAACTTTTGCAAATCAGTTTACATAATTAAATTTCTACACATAGGCTATTTGGGTGGAATTCAATCTGAGATTAAGACATCTACATTTAGGGGGTTGATTCTATTGCCTAAACACAGATGTCTATGCCATTTCAAACACCAGTCATATCCTGTCTAGCCTCTAATGGGTACTTCAGAAGGGCATGAATCTCCCATAGGTCCTGTGTCATATCTGTCAACCCTGTGCAGATGTCTTGGATACTCTAGGGCTTCTGAAATTGCAGTAGAAGCCTGTGTTTAGGCCACTGAAATGAGCCTTATGGCAGAACACTAGACTTAGAATACTTTTAGTAGCTCCCCAAGTGAGATTCAGTTATCTAAACAAAGGCACCCAGTGCCATATGAAATATCACAGGATATTCAAAACATCTGCAGAGAGCTGACAGATGTGATACAGGACCCACAGAAGCTCTCCATATTTCAGAGTGGCATCTAGAGACTAACTAGGACACACTGCAATGAATCCCATTCCATTGGATCTAATGAAATTTTAGAAACCTATCTCCCATTTAGAGACCTATGCAGAGGTAACTAAATTTGGTGAATCCAAATTAGAACTGAATCCTCCCCCTTTTTCTCTACATTACTTTACATACCTCAAATTCACAATTCTTTATTTTATTTCTGTTCTGTAAATGCTAAAAATATGTCTAGCCTGAACTTTTGAAATTATTACACCATCTCACATCCACAGAAAAGAAAAAATACCCCAAACCGATGCATATGTTCCTGCTGAATCTCATCTTTCTTTGCGTATGGAGTAGAGTTTGTCCTGTTATACAGGTTACCAAGATGTTAGTACATACCTATGTTCATATTCAGATAATCTCTCAGCAATATTCTACAATTTCTGGAGCCTAAGTGTTTTGACCTCCTTCAGCGGCGCTCTGCAGTTTCTTCCTTCTGGCCAGTCCATGATCACTTCCAGGATTTCTGGGCAGCTGGAGCTGCCCATTTGAGTCCATTGCATGATCAGTGCAACTGACAGTTGCATGATGCATAGTAGGGACCCTCACTTTGAACATCCATCCCAGCAAGGGCAATCAAGTTGCCAAGAGGAGCTGTGCTTTGGTATCATCTACTTCTGAAGTGGCTCAAACCCCTTCATATGCTGCTAATATTTCTTTTTCAGTAGGAATGTAGTGGGCCTTGGATCCTCTACATTCCCATCTCCAAAACCCTAGGTTGACCTCTCAAGTCTCTTCAGGTGCTTTCTGCCAGGGACTCCAGGTGGGGCCATGGTGCCTGGCTGCAGTGTAAAGCATATTTCTCACATCTTGTCCTGTCCAGACTGACCCAGGTGCTACTAGACAAATGATCTCCCATTTAATTTGTTCAAAGGCTTGTTGCTGCTCAGGGCCCCATTCAAAACCTATCTTCTTCCAGGTCACTCGACAGAGAGGGCTTACAATGAAACTGTAACCTGGAATATGCATTCTCCAAAAACCCACAACACGTAAGAAAGCTTGTGTTTCTTTTTTGTTACTTGGTGGAGACATAGATTTTTTTTTATTGATTATATCCATTGGGATATGATGACACCCATCTTGCCATTTTATTCCTAAAAACTGGATCGCCTGTGCAGGTGCATTGACTTTTGTTTTATGGCAAAACCAGCTTTCAGAAGAATCTTTATTAGTCTTGTCCCTTTCTCAAATACTTCCTCTGCTGTGTTGCCCAACACAATGATGTCATCAATATATTACATGTGTTCAGGAGTTTCACCCTGTTCCAGTGCAGTCTGTATCAATCCATGGCAAATGGCAGGGCTGTGTTTCCACCCCTGGCTCCAGTTGATTTCAGGTGTACTCGACACCCTTCCAAATGAAAGCAAACTGTGGCCTGCACTCTGCTGCCAAAGGGATCAAGCAAAATGGTTAGCAATATCAGTTGTGATAGACCACTTTGACTGCTGCCTTTGACTCCCATTTGTATTGGAGTTCTAACATGACCTGTATGGCAGCACTCAGTGGTGGCATGACTTCCTTCAGGCCATAATAGTCCACTGTTAGCCTCCACTCTCTGTTCAATTTTTGCACTGGCCATTATGGACCTATTAAAGGGTGAGCGAGTCTTGCTGATCACTTCTTGGTTCTCCAGTTGCTGAATCAGCTTATGAATGGAAACCAGGGAGTCTCAGTTGGTGCAATATTGTCACCTGTACACTGTCATGGTAGCTATCAACTCCTGCTATTCCTCAACCCATAGCAACCACAAATGTGGCCAACCCAACCTCACAGCACTGTCTATGACTTTCTTCATCCTCTCCTCTCCCTGATTTGTTTCAGCCAGACACTTTGCAAATCCGGTCCCATAGGTTTTCATGTTTGGACCAGGTAGGTAAAGCCCAGGCTAGGGCCTATGGGGTTGCACACCATAACATCATTCCTAAAAACAGAGTCCAAGACCAAGGGGTCAAGTAGTTATCTCATTACCTTTCACACTAGGCAATCACATGTTCACCCTCATTGTATTCAGTGAGAAGAATTCATTATTTACAAATACAAATAAAAGCCCTGTTTTGATAGCTTTTTTATGCATATGCAACATTTAAAGGGTCTTAGTTTGATCTATTTGGCCTCTGTCAATTTGATAGTAATCTACTTATTAAAAATAGGTTGAAATCCGAGCCATGCGTATGTGTAGGATCTAGTTTTCCAGTTTTAGACTGCAGCATTTGAAATGCCTGGAACATATAGGACTTGTCCACAAAGCTAAGGAATACGACAAGGACTTGTAGGAGAGCTCCAGACTTTGGAGTTGCAGTAGTTGTTCTAAATTCAGTAATGTAATTAAGTTTGAAAAGAGGTTACCTACATTTAGGCACCTATTACAGAGGTCCAAATGTGAATTGGGTATTCAAAAGCTCCAGTTATAAACAAAGGCCAAGACATCTCTCAAGTCAGTCCCTGTACTTCAAGGCAGGGACGGGGGGAATTAAATCCCTCCTATAGTCAGTAAGGATTCAGGTTTGAGACCACCTGAGGAACCTGAACATGTACAAGTCCATGGAACTTGATGAGATGGGCTCAAGCTGCGCCAGGGGAGGTTTAGGTTGGATATTAGGAAAATTTTCTTCACGGAAAGGGTAGTCAAGCATTGGAACAGGCTGCCCTGTAAGGGCATGTGAAAAGTCATAGAATCATGGCACTGTTTACAAGTTAGCCTTAACTGTTGTGAAATAACACTTCTCTGTCTCAGGCCATGGTAACCAGTAATGTCCCTGGTCTGTCAAACTGCAGGACCCGTTTGTTGCTACTATAGCTGGAGGCAGTTCATACGTCAACATCCATTTTGGCTTGTGAAGCTCTTAAGGCAGCAAAAAGCAGCCCTTCCTACCTCAGCCAGGAGGTCTCCAGAGAAGATAGAAATACCTGTGGCTGCTTTTTGGCAGGTGCTTTGATTTCTCTGCAGTGCCAAGAAATCAAGACAACTTCCAAAAGCTCAAAGTCACCCAGATAATCAGTCACCACCCCATAAAGTAGCTTGTATGCAAAGAATGGAGCTTTACTCTCACCGGTGTCATACAACAAAACTCACCTGTTTTTTCACTTTGAGTAACCACCCTTGATCACACAGCTGCAAAAGGTGTGAGTGTACTTAAACCATGCATTCTCTATATACACCTACATCAAATTGTTGTAGGAGTTACCAAATGTACTCTCAGCTTCTTAAATAGCATCTGTGAACTGCGAACAGGTCTTGGTCCTGACCATGATGTTGCCTTTCTCTTGCAACATAAAGTGGTGAGGATTTGCTTTGAGGCACAGTACATGCAAAGGGATTGATGGGAAGTTGAAAAAGAGGAGTTGAAAAAGCCATGTGAAACAGTGCTCAGAAACCCTCGTGAAATGCCAGTGGTTGATGTTAAGATAAAATATGCATGTTCCCCTATCTCCATTTTCAGTTATCCAATATGTCCTTCTTCAGACACATATCTTTGCAAATATGCAATACGTAATCAGGAGGTATTGCAGTCCTTGAACTCTTTCCAAGCCCTACTCATAGAGGGCTTATCGACAATATAGCTCGCTCATTCTTTGGTACTTTGTTTCATTTCTTTCTTTCATTTCTCTGGGTTTTTTTCTGCTGCTGCCCTTCCCGCAGGGCATGTCCATGCCCATCACCCCTGGGCACCCCTTGTTCCCAAATGGCATCTCTCCCTTGCACTCAGCGGAGAGCAGAAATCACTGAGAGGGTCCAGGAGCACTTGTCTGATGGTTTTCATCCAGGGGTTTTTGCTCTGGTGTTCTTGGAAGCAGACAGGACCCGGAGCAGGAGGAGGAACCTTGGCCACTGCAAAGGTACCCAGACAGTCGGGCTCTGGCAGCAGGGCAGTCTGTTTGGCCAGCCCCTGGCAGCTTTCTGCAGCTAGGGCAGCACACTGCCCCAATCTGTCCAGGTAAGCAAATCTGGTCGGGTTGTCCCCATTTCTCTGGCTTCTTCTGAGAGCTGCTGTCCTCAGCAGAGGGACCCTGGGTGGGGCTTAGGGACAAAGCTGGCTCCTCCCCATGTCACCTACCCACAGCTACCCCTCCATCCTGCCCCAGTGAAAGCAGAACTGTCCACACTTGTTCCTGTCCTTAAGGCAGGTTCACCTGTCCCAGGGCCTGTCTTAAGCCAAGCAACTGTCCTCACGTGTCCACTGCAGGACCTGCTGGCTTTCCTGGAAGAGCAAGGACCCTTCACAGAGGGTATATTCTAACTTGGGGCTGGAAAATGCACCTCCAGGGAGTTGACAGAGGCCTTTGGCAGTGGAGTGGAGGTCCATATGCAAAGACATCCTGTGCACCTCCTGGCAGTCATCCTGAAGGTGAATTCTGCTGACATGGAGCCTGGCAGCCCCCAGCTCTCTCATTACTGATGGGTACCTGCAAGAGGACTTCAGCAAGGAAGCTGAAACCCAGCCACCTGCTTGTGAGCCAGAGTGTTGGGGATGCTGCCTGTGCTCCCAGCGGGAGTGTTCAGTGCCTTACCTGGAGCCCTTGGCATTGCAGGACTTCCTCCGAAACACCCAGTTCAAACTCCTCAATATAGAGCTCTATGAGAAGTGGATGAACACCCTGCAGAAGACCAGCAGGCAGGAGAAGCTGACAGGACTGAGAGTAAGTGTAGCAAACAGCAGGCCTGCTCTGCAGGGACTGGCAGAGGCTGGGCACTTGTAGAGGCAAAGCAATGGCCTCCTTGAAAAAGCCGTGTTTCCTGCTAGCCACCTCTTGCTGCTGTGGGATTGGATTTTGGGGAATTGGCACCAAAAAGATTTCTCTCCTTGGAACACCTCCTGAAGGAATTGGAGGTTTCTTCATGGAGGGACTCTTGCCGGAAGGGCAGGGAGGGAGGTGGCAGTATCTCAGCAAAGGCCATCCATCTGCTGCAGACCTGGTGCGGCCAGGGAGCCTTCCCTTGAGTGGGTTTGGGTGAGATCAGCCTGGGTGGCAAGTGTTGACAACATCTACTTCATTATCATTGTGTTCCCGTTCCCCCAGGGTGGCCAACAAGTTGCCAGCTGCCATCCTCCTCCTGAAGCGCTTGCTCTCCCTGCTCTAAAACATCATCAAAAATGCCGACACAAGCAGGATGACTGACAGCAACCTGGCCATCTGTGTGGAGCCAAATCTACTGAGCCCAGCTGAGGAGCACATGCTTCCCCTGCAAGTGCTCATGCAGGTGACTGGGAAGGTACACTGTATTTACCAGCTGGCTACAGCCTTCTGGGCCCACCTGAACTTTGCTGTTCGGAGGTACCTGGCTGCCTCCTCTCTTGAACAAACACTCATGGGGTAGCTGCTGGGAAGAGCAGACTCACAGATGCAGGTTTCTAGGCAAAAGTGAGTTTCAGGTTGATCCATTTTTAGACACCTGGGTTGAACCCAGTGGTTTGATGTGTGCAGGTGATGGGCCTGGTGCTGTCCCTCATTGAGAACAGCGAGGAACACTTTGGAGAGGAGAGGGTTGGACTTGCCAGTGCACCAGCCAAGGAGTCACCACCACAGGTAGTTGAAGCAGAAACAGCAGAGGTATGTCAGGTCCACAAATACTGTGGCAACATGCCTCATGCATGAGGCTACAGTTCCTGATGTAAACCTGAGGCTGAAATGTACAGGGTCTTCTCCTCACCCAGAATAGAGGTCCTATGTGCCTATGTCTTTTAAGAAAGGACTTCCTTCTTGCTGTAGACTCAGACCCTGTGAAGAGGAGAGCAAGGTCATCCATTAGCCTGCAGCTCCACAGAATTTGAGAGAAAGGCTGATGAAGGTTGGCCTTCGCACTTCGTGCAATGATCTCATTGGCATTTGCTCAGCTGAGCTGTTCTGTCAGTAGCTGTCACCTTCAGAAAAGTTGAGCTGAGATCGTCCTTCATCAGAGCTTCATGAAGTCTATTTTGGGGCAGGGGACTGTGCAAAATGTGGACAATGCAAATGAATCCAAGTGATCTGCTTTTAAGTGCCAAAGTAGCAATGTGGCAAACAGTAGCTTCCTCCTCCAGGTAGGTCCTTGCGACCTGTTCACTTCTACATGTCTATTGTAGGTGCCTCCAGCTTTTCCCATAGGCACTCCAGGAAGTGTGGCAGGCTCCCTTGTATGCCCTCAGCAAGGGAAGAGCTTGTCTGGGGAAAGAAGGTAAAATGAGTTAGCTTTGATTAAAAGAGGAATTCATTTAAGTTTATCATGGCTTTTCCACTTTCATGATATTATTGAATATAAAGATTTGCAGGCTCTTCACAGCAAGACCAAACCCAAGGAAACAGAAAATGAAAGTTGTTCTTTGAAGAGGGGAGCGAAGGCCAGCCAGACAAGAAAATCAGAAACACTGAAAAAGAGCTCTCCGGGATGGACAACTGAAACAATCCAATAAGGTGGAGAACAGCAAGAAGCCCAGGTATGTAGCAGACTCTGCTTCCTATCTCTCAAAACTTTGAAAACTGCTCTGAGCACAGGAAATATTTCCATGATGCGCAAAGGTGTACTGCCCACCAGAGAGCAAAGCAGCCTAGGATGGCTCAGTGCAACCTGATCAAACCCCAGAATGGGGTTTTGCAGAAAGAGGGGCTCAGCCCAGGAAGCAGCACAACCCTGGCTGGCTTGGCGGCTCTGCCCAAGGGAGCATTTTTTGCCTGCAAACTTGTCTTGCTAGCAAGGCACAGTGAGGGATGTTGCTGCTCAGGTTTTGGAAATGAGTACATTTCCAGGAGCTCCCTGTTGAGTCCTACTGCCTGGCAAAGGGGCATTGCACATATGTAAACTTGCACTGCTCTGAGGGTATCACATGTGTTGAGAAGGGGCAAAGCCATACCATAGTCACTGTCAGTAGGAGTTGTCTCTTCTGTGCTAGAACAATGGCTTTACATTGTCCTTCTCAAAGAAAGGGGGACAAAATGCCTGCCTTCATACTCTTATCAGTGGTTTCTGACTCTGTCATTGTAGGTGCCCATTTAAATTTAGCACTTGGATTTCCTGGATGAGCTCTAACTCCTGGGCTACCAGGGACACTTGCTTCAGCCCAGCACCAAGGCAAGGCAAGGAGAGGAGAGGCACCTGTGCCCTGCTGCTCTGGCCAGTAGATTTCATTCATACCACCGAGCCAGGGAAATAAAGGACAACGCAAGGCACCATGCCACCGTCTGCCAGGGCAGAGTGCTCCCTCAGCTGCCACTGCAGCTGCTAGTTCAGGGAGGCCCTGCACCACCCTTGGATGCAGATTACTAAGGCAGTAATCCTTGGGGTGAAGCACCGGTCCCATATGCGGAGCTGAATGTGATGATAAATAGAAAAAAAGAGCTTCCATTCAGAATTCGCCTTCAGATAAACTACTACTATTCTAGGTGAGACCTATTGATGGACAAAATCTGAATAGCTTAAGACCTCTTTGGAGCCATTTTACAACCCTGTATTGCTATGTCTTTTAAAAACATTTTTTTTTAATATAATTTATACTTGTTTGTATATACTTTGAAGTATCAACTGCAAGTGTGGAGTCTTAACTCCCTTCCCTTCCCTTAAGCCAATTGGATATAATGCTAGGAGTTCTGGTGTTGTGGTTTTGCAATGTAGAAAGTAGTCATTTCACATTTTTTTTTAGTACACTTCTAATAATTTCACTTTATTTCACAAGGCCAGTCTTAGAGTGACTTTTCAGCTCTAGTATTAGAAAGAAGAAAGAATGACAAAAGTCCTGTCTCACTCCCTTGACATCTGCATCCTGCAGTCTCAAACATGGCAAAGAAAGTGTACCAAGAGAGTCCTGGACCATAGCTGTATGAGAGAATGAAACATTTGTATTCTGTTTTGCTGTCTCCTTTACTTGAAAGACAACTTATCCAGAATACTACCTTTGTCATCCTACTAAAATGAGGCCAACAGTGGGCTTTCCTGGGAGCAGAGATTTCTAGGAGTCTTGCTGAGAACTTTTACCTTGTGCAGTACACTTTTTTCTAGGTCTTCTGGGCATCTTACAGCATAGTCACAATTGAAAGCCACTTTCAGCAAAGACTTTGAGGGCTTTTATACTCACATTTCCTTGACAGAGACCATGGATGCTGTCATGTGAAGTTTTCCATGGTCTGTAGGCTTTAGTCAGAACCCAGACTTTGGGGACACATTTAGGTCTGCCACAAGGGAGGCTGCCTTGCAGAGGGAGCAGAAACGTAAAATCCTGTCACATGTCAGACCCATCAGATGGACTACTCAAGGGCTGAGTTGTGGTAGAAACCTATTAGGCAGGCTGCCCCACTGGAGTACTACCTTCTGAACAAGTATCCCTACAGCTAACACCCCAAGTAGCACATTCTGATAAAGCCTGATATTTGGTGGCAAAGAGTCACTCTGTATGAAACTTCCAGTTTAGGATGAAGTAAAGTGTCCTCCAAAAGTGCTTTACTTTACATTGACTAGAAGAAAAGAGCTGTGGGTGATACACTCAAATGTAGACATCTATCTATGCTGTAGAAGTTAAAGTTAGGAGAGGTGAATCCTACATAATATTGCTGTTTGCGTGGGTGCGAGTTCCAGAAAAATAAACTGTGCTCAGATCTGGTCAATCTCACAAGATTTTGTTCTTGTGAAAGTTTTACTTCTCTGTAGATGTTCCATATCAATTCTTTGCTCTCATGGAATCATAGAATGCTTTGGGTCGGAAGGGACCTTTAGAGGCCATCTAGCCCAACCCCCCTGCAGTGAGCAGGGACAGCTTTAACCAGATCAGGTTGCTCAGAGCCCCAGCCAACCTGACCTTGAATGTTGCCAGGGATGGGGCCTCCACTGCCTCTCTGGGCAACCTGTTCCAGGGCTTCACCACCTTCATTGTAAAAAATTTCTTTCTAATGTCTATTCTAAATCTATTCTGCTTTAGTTTAAATCCATTATTCCTTGTCCTGTCACAACAGGCCTTGCTAAAAAGATTCTCTCCATCTTTCCTGTAGGCCCCCTTTAAGCACTGGAAGGTCACAATAAGGTCTCCTCGCAGCCTTCTCTTCTCTAGGCTGAACAATCCCAACTCTCTCAGCCTGGCCTCACAGGAGAGGTGTTCCAGCCCTCAGATCATTTTGGTGGCCCTCTTCTGGACCTGCTCCAGCAGGTCCATGTCCTTCTTGTGCTGAGGGCCCCAGAGCTGGACACAGTACTCCAGATGAGAAAAAAAAAATTTTTTCAACTGAATGAGACATTATTGTACAATTCAGAAAGAAACCCTGAGTTACCAGCTGTAGAACAAAGTTAAATTAAAAAAAAAAAAAAAAAGGCCTGTTTTTTTGAAGGAAAGAAAAACCAAAAATGCTAAAAGCAGCAGCCAGAGCCATCCCAAAGCCTCAGCTTTGCCAAGGAGAAATTTCCTGTGTGGGTGACAAACTCCCCAGGGAGTGATGGGGAGAACACGAAGATGGAAGGGCAGAGGGAAGGAATGAGCCAAACCTAGCAGGTATTCTGGACAGCCGAGAATCTAAGTGGGTGTTTGGAAAACCCGTGGTTTATTTTGTTCAGAGAACTGCCGTCTGGGCGGGGGTGGGGGGCAGGAGAGAGGAAGAAACGGAGTCTGAAAAACCAACCTTACACTCTGAACACACATGCACGAAAAGTAAAGGGGAGGGAAATCCTTTACAAACACAAGTGCTGCTGGTGAGGAGTCTGCAGGGCTGACTTTGGGAAGGGCATCCAAAGGTTCAAAGGAGGAAAAACCCCAAAGCCTAAACCCCAAACATTATGCAGTCTTCCAGCTGCAATGGCGTTGGAGAGGATCAGATTCTAAGAAATGATGTAGCTACAAGAAGTATCTGGCCCTACACAGGAAAGGGTGAATCAGAGCTCCTTTTTAGTGCCACTTGACATCAGTTATACATTCTGGTTCTCATATACACAGATGGATGTCTTCAGAAATTGACAATTTACACTTCAAAAATGTTTTACAGTCAAGTTGTCTCAGCAAAGGTCAGTCCGTACAAGGAGGAGCCAGAATATATATAAAGAAATATATTTCCAATAAAGGGATGTTCTGTCCTACTGCTTTCTGATAACCTGTGATGAATATCCTCAAGAAAGTACAAACTTTCATCTATGCACTTGTAATACCTGTTCCCAAGCTACAGTTGCACCTAGCACTATGCAAGAACAGCTACTCCAAAAAAAAAAAATTATTTCATATTCATGGGATTACCAAGTGGGAATGGCACAACCTATTTCTTTATTCAGAAATATATCATCATTTGAGAATATTTTTGTCTTTAAGAAGGAAAACAAAGACATTGGAAACCTAGATCTTTCAAATTCATAAATTTAATCATTTGTCTGGAAGCAGTTTTTCCTTGACAATCAGGTCTAGATTTAGTCTCAGTCTTAGGGAGGGAGAGTTTGTAGGTTTTATTTTAAAAAATTTCACAGGTAATAAAGTGTGTAGTCCTATGCATTTGATGGGACTTGCTGTTTCCCTGGCAATAAAACTCGTACAAAGTTAATTCTTCCTCATGGTAAGGCTACTTTAATCACCCTCACTGGGAGCAGTGTAGCATGTATTAACATGTACTCTAGG